CATACATAAACCTATATCTGTTATGTCCACATTTGTCATAGAGTACATACATTCTCATAATGATATTTAACCACAATAGCATACATACTCATTTCCGTCTATTTTAACATTTTATTACCTATATATATGCATCCATCCATGTGTCTGACATATATATGTCTCAACCATTCATTGCTATGTCTCGTGTAAAAATAGAACACATATCAACCTTCATCACATATGGTACAGTATATATCTTTATGCTAGAAATAATATCTGCATTAAATTTTTTATAACCGCACATACTGTATAACTAATGTCCATGTCAAAAACACCCATGTCCATGCATAAGCATAATTAAGATGATTTCACCATACTCGCATGCGTTGTACTCACACAAACCCATATGCATGATATTAGACATTTTCAGACATTCCTGTATGTACTAGTACTGATTATTGAAATGTAAATTTATGCAAAGAGAAAAAATATCAGTCCCACACAAAAAGGTAAATGAAAAATTTGCACAGTCTACTGAGTACATTGCATTGTCTTTATAAGAAAGAGGAATTGAGATAGAGATTGAGAAAATAAAAAGAAAGGGAGAATAGAGAACATAAAGAAACGAGAGAAGAAATGTATGAAAAGTTGGGCGAGATGGTGGAAAAAGGAGGTGGATATTCACTCATGTATATTATATTATATATAGGTAATATATCGGCTTTGTGAAGGGCAGAACTTAAAATATGTATGATAGAGTATGTCTCAAAGATAATAATTATAATGATAATAGAAATGTATTACAGCTTAATTAGTTTGTCCCATTTTTTCCAGTCATTTTCAAATTTATGTTTAGCTTTTTCATCCTTACCATTAACAATGTATTTTTGAATCTGATAGTTGTCCTTTATTATGTTTACAAGAGCGTTTACATTTAATGAGTTATGTAAACATCTCATTCTGTAAATATACTGCTTTATAATGATGATGATTTCATTATCTACTCGATTACTGGGAAGAAAATTCTGATGAAGAAGGCCAAAAAGAAAAGATTTTTTGTTTACTGAAAATGGGATTAAAAGAGCTTCCATTAATGTGTCAAAACTTTCTAGTAATCTTTGTACTTCCCCACATTCCCATAATATATGAGTAATTGTTTCCGGTTCAGAGTTGCATAATACACAAAGAGGGGAGACAACTACTCCAATTTTAGATAGAAATGAATTAGTTGTAAGTACATGATGAATCACTCTATACTGGAACCACTGGAGTTTTGTATTTGTTGTTACACAGAAAGGCATTTTGTAGATTTTACACCAAGTTAGTTTATCCATGTTGTCGAATATAGTATTCCATTTTCTGGTGCCGGATGGTATCTTGTCCGCTTTAATTATGATGTTGTAAAACATTTTTGACCCTTTTTTATCTCTAAGAAAAAAATCTAGATTGATAGGTATGTAGGGATAAATTATCTCATATCTGTATGTATTATGGGATGAAATAAAGTCTTTAACTGCAGAGACAAGGCCCTGATACTGTAAAAAAATTGTGTTTACGTGGTATTTTTGAATAAATTCTACAAATGTGTAAAACAAACCTGTGCTAACCTTTATCATATCGTTTATAATAAAAATGTTTTTCTGATAGTATTTTCTGTAAAAAACAGCTCTTCCTCCTATCTTGATTTTACTATTATACCAAATGGGAACTTTCAATATGTTTTCCTGAAGAATTTTATCATAATATTTTGTATTTAGTGTGTACCAAGATCTGAGCACATCACTCCAGAATTTATTTTTACACTTATTTACACATATCTGAATATATTCAGAACCACAATTTGCAAGAAGATCTATGTCAATATAAGTTTTAAGTATGGCCTGCCATTTCTCAGTACTCTGATAGAGTCTTCTGATCCAAGTAAGTTTAAGAGAGTTTATAAAAGCAACAAGATTGATCATCTTCAAACCACCATCAGCATAATTTTGAATAATTATCTCTCTTTTAATTTTGTCTGGTTTTCCACTCCATAAATAATCAAATAATATTGAGTTGAGTTTGTTAATAAATCTATCATCTGGATTTGGTAATGATATAAACAGGTGATTAAATTGAGAGATGAGCAATGATTTGATAATGCTAATTTTTCCAATAGGTGTTAATGACCTTCTGTTCCAAATTTTTATTAGAGATTTTAGTTTGATAAGTTTTTTGTCAAAGTTAAGTTTTGGTATTTCATGAAGGTTCACACTAAATTCAATTCCTAGCAACACAAATTTTTCTTTTCCCCACTGCAAATTAAGTTCAGGTAAAAAACAATCTTCACTATACTTTTTGCTACCAATCCATATCACCTGAGTTTTATCAATGTTCATTTTTAAACCAGATTTTTTTGCAAATTCATGTAGTTCTTTTACTGCTTCCTTTAGAGATTTCTCAGAGCCATCAAGTATAAGTGAGGTGTCATCAGCATATTGCGATAATAAAATAGGACAACTTTCAATCTCGATACCTTTTACATTTCTATTATTTCTCAATTTTGTAGCCAAAACCTCTGCACACAGAATAAACAGATACGGTGCGATTGGATCCCCCTGTCGACAGCCCCTCCTGATATCAAAGAATGAAGATATGTTTCCCCCCTGATTGATAGCTGAATGAACATTATTATGTAAAGTTTTAAACCAGTTTACAATGCTATTACCAAAACCAAAGAGAAGTAGAACTTTTTCAATAAATAACCAAGACACTGAATCGAATGCCTTCTCAAAATCAATCATCAGTAGCATGCCAGGTATGTCATTCTCCTCAGTATAATGCATAATATCATATATTAATCTTGTATTTACCCCTATATAACGACCCGAAAGAAAACCAGTTTGATCATTATTTATTAATTTATTGAGAACAGTTTTTATCCTATTAGCTACAGTTCCTGATGCAATTTTGTACACAATGTTTAAAAGTGATATGGGTCTCCAATTTTTAATGAAATGCCTTGGTTTATCTGCTTTTGGTATACAAGTTATTATTCCCTGTCTCTGGGT